GTGTGTGTGTGTGTGTGTGTGAATACGCGAATGTACAATGACACTGAGTGTATAAAGAAAGAGTTGAATACAAGCGAGTATCCGATTTTATTACAACGCGATCGTTCGATGGTTTGACAAGATTTGGAAAGATGTTTGAACTCCTCGAGCTACGAATTTTTAAAACGAGAGAGAATGTTGCACGAAGACTTAGATTGCGGACTTTATGTTAATGAAATGATAGAATAATATATCGAAGTATATATTGATGACCGTGAAATTTAAGAAAAACACTCAACTCCTTTCCCGTGATGGGCGAGATATCTCGATTACGAGGTGCTGTAATGATTCGGATAAAAGTTCAATTCATGAAACGTTTATTAATATTTTATAATACAAAAGGGACCGATAATCTCATTGGATGTATCGTGTTATCCAAGTTCATTCGAGGCCATTTTTGAAACCACCAGTGATAGTTAAAAACTCAGAAAGGAGTGCATTAAGGGACGAAGAGAGAGCTAACTACTGATGTTTCAATATTTTTTTTTTTTTTTTTTTTTGTTAAAATTACCAGAACGCATCGGGACAGAAGTATCAGCCTTTATTACACCTTTGATATCAACGGAATAATAACAGAACAACACACACACACACACACACACACACACACACCATGCAGGCCAGTTTAAAATGGAAGTTAATCCTATTAAAAAGCAGAAAGCTTCGAAACGAGAGAATTAACCACCTTTTGAAAATAGATCTCTTTTCAGTCAATCAAAGAGTCAAATCTCCCTTTGACGATCAAGAGAGCTTTTGCAATGGAAAAATGATATTCCGCGATTCCATCTTATTTTGTCACGTATGTCCCCCCGATGGTACCATCGATTACAAGCCATCCTATATATTTCACCTTCACCGGGAGTGCAAGTTTTCTCGGTTCTTCGACAAAGTTGTACACCGTCGTTTGTCATAGTCGTCGTCGTCGTTCGACATATCGTTTTCAATAACTCATCGAAACATTTCCTCGACAGGATGTCTCGGGCGAGGATTTAGCGCGCTTCGCAACACCTGAGATGACATATATGAGATATATAGATGTAAGAAACATTATATTTTGCGAAGAAAGTGACACGACTGCTCTCAAAAAAAAAAAGAGAGAAAAAAAAATGCGACTTTCGAATGATCGAAATTCAGATAATAAAGTACGCGTGCATCCAAATACACACAGGTGAACGAATTGAAGCTATTGTAATTTTAGGCGGATAAAAACGAATTAGCGCTTTCCGACTTTTCCCCATTCACTTTCGAAAGTGTAAAATCGTCTAAAGGACACAAACTCGCGACTCGATCGCGAGGTAGAGACTTGACGTTTTAAAATTAGCTCAAATAGATCTAAGAGAGATGGTCTTTTCTCACAAAAGTTACTCGCGACTTTTTACTGTATTCCTGACAGCAATTCTTCTCCTGAGAGTTTCGATTAAACTGTATGTTTGTTTATTTGTTCAACTTTTTGAATCAATAAAATTTCTTTTGATCGTAAATTCCCATACTCGACAATAAACGTAAATTCCTTTGAAACTCTCACACCCGAAGATGTAAAATCATCTACGAACTCGAGTGTCAAAAGGATTTCATATTTTAGAACAGGATAGACAATTTTTCATTGGTACAGTTACGATCTTCACTAACCGCTCGATTTTGGTTCTCCAGATAAGAATAGGATTTTACAAAAGGAATAGATCACGAACGATGATGCTTCGTAGTTTCGGATACATCGCGTAAAAGAATCGCGAGTCATCTAAGAGGGTCAAACGACACAGACTGTTTCGAATGGCAAAACCGATACGAAGCATTGATCCTCCGACGATAGATCGAGAGAGAGAGAGAGA